TGTGTGAAATTTTTAATGACTTTTTTGTAAATATTGGTGTCAATTTAGCTAAAAGTGTTAAAGCAGATCCAACATATATTGAAAAGGTTAAAACAAATACAAATTCAATGTTTTTAATTCCAACAAATTCAGATGAAATAAAAAATATTATACTTAAACTAAACAACAAAAAGGCTCCAGGTTATGATAATTTAAAAGCAGAAACACTTAAAATAATTTTACCTTATATAGTAGAACCAATTGCGTACTTAATTAATAAATCATTTGAACAAGGCATTTTCCCCGATGCTCTTAAATTGTCCATAGTTACACCAATTTACAAAAGCGGTGATATTACAGAACCAGAAAACTTCAGGCCCATTTCGTTAATAAGTTCATTGGCTAAGATATTTGAGAAAGTAGTTAAGAATAGATTAAGTCAATTTCTAGATAAATTTAATTTGTTATCCTCTGCTCAATATGGGTTTCGCGATAAGAAAAGTACACAAGATGCCATACTAAATTTGACAAAAAAGATTTATAATTGTTTGGATAATAGCGTACCATCTTTAGCAGTTTTTATAGATCTTCGTAAAGCTTTTGATACCGTAGATCATAACATGTTATTGGAAAAACTCGAAGATTTAGGTATAAGAGGCACAGCACTTAGGTATTTTGAAAGTTATTTAACAAACCGACGACAGCATACTAGAATAAACAATCAAATTAGTAAAGAACAAAAAATAAAATGTGGTGTACCTCAAGGCACAGTTTTGGGTCCAATACTATTTACGATATATCTAAATAATATATTTCTTCTCGAACGAGAAGGCCAAATCATTAGTTTTGCAGATGACACTGTAGTTTTCTACAAAAATTCTGATTGGTTTTCGTTAAAAGAACAAGTAGAAACAGACTTAATAAGACTTAAAAAATGGTTCGACCACAGAGCTTTATCACTAAACATAAATAAAACAGAATACTTACCATTCAGTAGTTTGGCATCATCTCTTCCAGAGTTTGATCTAAAGATTAATGATAATATTATCATAAAACCTGCAAAAAAAGTTAAATACCTCGGTATTGTAATAGATCCTCACTTAAGATGGGATGAGCATATCTACTATCTTTTAAAAAAATTGGGATTCTTGCTCTTTAGATTCAAGCAAGTTACCACTTTCTTTGATTTCAAACAAAAAAAAATTATGTATCAGAGTTTAATAGAATCTCATCTAAATTATGGCATCATAGGCTGGGGTGGCTTATCAACAACATATCGCAATATGCTAGAAGTGTCACAAAAAAAATTCTTAAAGTTGATATTAAATGTACATCCGAGATATTCGAGTTGTAAACTATTTTCTGACACAAAACTATATGATATAAATCAATTATATTACAGACAACTAGCTGTTACGCAATATAACAACAGATTTGATTTAAAAATAGCATTACATCCATACCCAACCAGACAAAAAATTCAATTTATACTACCATATAAAAATAAAAAAGTTGGTCGAAGAAACTTTGAATATTTAGGACCTAAAACATTCAACTCACTGCCGGAAATTGTGAAAAAGGCTTCAACACTGTCCTCATTTAAACACAGATTAAAAATTTTCATAGACATTACACCTAGAACAGAAATACATAAATACATAGAAATGTAAATTATTGTAAATATATAATCTAATTTTAAAGTACCGTATAAAAAATATATATAATATTTATGTTAAATTACTGAAATAGGGGAATGTTAAAGATGTGAGTATACTTACCTGATCGGCGCGTTTAGTAATTTAAAACATTTTTTATACAATATAAATTTATAGTATGTAGTTAGAAATAAGTAATTTATCATATTTAAACTTTAATATTTTTTTTTCCTGTTAATTTTAATTTTACCACACACAAATAACTAAAAGTTATTTCAGTGGATTACTGTGTTTATTAATTAAGATAAAAACATACTGTATTATATTATGTGGTTAAAAATTAATAAACATATTATTATTATTATTATTATTATTATTATTATTATTATTATTATTATTATTATTATTATTATTATTATTATTATTATTATTATTATTATTATTATTATTATTATTATTATTATTATTATTATTATTATTATTATTATTATTATTATTATTATTATTATTATTATTATTATTATTATTATTATTATTATTATTATTATTATTATTATTATTATTATTATTATTATTATTATTATTATTATTATTATTATTATTATTATTATTATTATTATTATTATTATTATTATTATTATTATTATTATTATTATTATTATTATTATTATTATTATTATTATTATTATTATTATTATTATTATTATTATTATTTTCGTGATCTCAGCGCATGCTGGTATAATTTTTCGCTATACAAAATGTATGAGCTCGGACAACCTAGCAGGGAAACAATTCAGTTTAACCCACTTAGGTACCGTTTATTATTATTATTATTATTATTATTATTATTATTATTATTATTATTATTATTATTATTATTATTATTATTATTATTATTATTATTATTATTATTATTATTATTATTATTATTATTATTATTATTATTATTATTATTATTATTATTATTATTATTATTATATATAAAATAGTCTCTTATAAGTTCAGTTTTGGGAATAGGCAACATCAAGTTACCCATTTGGCGAATTACACGGGATATATTCGATTTATATTTCGACTTGTTCTTATGGATCATGCAACAAGTTTCTAAGACAAATAGTGAAGTTAATGTTAATATTTCTTGTTTTACGAACAGCGCTCTACATGAAACTAATCTGTGTGCTCCACATAAGAACTTTAGTGCCCGTTTCTGCATTATAAAGACTAACAAATAACAAATATGCAGTTTTTGCTACACAAACTCCTAATTCATGAAAGGTAGTTCTAATGGCATAACACCCCGATGCGAGTTTTTTTAAAAGTGAATCCACATGAGATTTGAATTTGAAATCCGTGTCGATATTTAAACCCAAACATTTTGTAGAGTCTGTAGCTTCTACAGTATACATATCTATTCAAATTTCAGCAATATTAAATTTAAAGGTTAATATTTTTGTTTTTTAAAATATAATATCAGAAAGTTTGTGTTTGTGTTTTAAAGGTCTTCGTACGAGTGCCACGAACTTTCTGATAGAAAAGAGAAAAGTTAGACATAGTACATTTACTTTCATTATTAATAGTTAAAACAGGATGTGCTCGATCTGGTTGCTACTTAGGTAACAAAATATTGGATCTACATTTATTCAGAGTTTTTTTATATAATGACACTCATTATATTGCAAAACAGAATGATTTATGGAGATCGTATTTTCGGCAGTTTTGTTAAAGTTATGGCAGTTAATGCAATACTCATTGCTGTGTTTATGACATTCACTAAGTTTATGATTTTGAACACATAATTGACAAATATAAACAGATGAATTACAATGTTTCTCTAGGTGATGAAAATGACAGCACTTGAAGCACCGTCTTAGCTTAATGGCATCAGAAACATTACAATAATCGTAGCCAACAAATAGTTTACCTAGTGACATAACCTTTTGATAACTATTAATATCTGACTGTATTATGACTTGGAAAAGTTTGTTGTTCTTTTTCAAAAGTAATTGGAAAACTTGAAGGAAAGAATAAATTTTAACAATTTCAATAATTTACAATTCAAAGAAAGTTTTCAAATTTCTGCACCCGGTGTAAAAATTTTATTGGTTGCCATTGCAAGTGATCTGACTCAGGAGACTCGTAGAAACCATGCATTATTACCAAGAGAACAATTGCTTGCAGCACTGCACTAATACGCTAATGGTGGTCAATATCATGGAATATCATCTATGCATGGAATTTCAAAAGCCTCCGTATGTAGAGTGATTCGTCGTATTACAAGAGCAATAGTAAACAGGCTTTTCATGGGTATCGTACGTTAGATGGGTTCGATTGTAAATTAAGAGCAATATATTAATGAACAAAGTAAACATTCTTTAAATGTCAAATTTTACGCAGTATACTCTTATTGACCTGGAAGGGTTCACGATGCCAGAGTTCTTCGGAATTCATAAATATCTAATCACTTTGATGATGGTTGGAAGCTATTTCCAGGAGCCGTAATTCTATGCGACAGTACCTCAAGACTAAAAGAATGGCTTATTCCTCCATTAAACAGAAATCCTAATGATCCAACTAAACAACCTTATAACCTAGCTCATAAGCTAACATGGCGGATGATTGAAAATTGTTTTGGTATATTAAAAGAACGATTCCCATGTCTCAACCATTTGAGGGTATATCCGCGGTATGCTGACCTCGTAGTTATTTGTTGTGTAACACTGCACAATATTGCTTGTGAACACGAAGGAGGAAACGCGATAAATGAATATAATAATGAAGAAGAAAAAAAAAGATGATAGACTATTAATAATAATATTCTACTCTGACCCTTATGATGTACATGAAAAACCAAATGGTGCTTTAAGAATAGAGAGGTTATTAAATTTTTTTTGTTAATCTTAATTATTTCCTTAATTATCTATTCTATTTTTTTATCAATATTTGAATAATATAAGCAACATGTTAAGGCCTTCTAATGACAACTCACGGCGAAAAGCTTAACTAATATGTAGTTGTGGAGTTTAGTTTCTTAATGCGAAAACTGCAGTAAGTGTTGAGGGCTGTATGTATTACTATCAACGATCTGATATTCAATTTATATTGATGATAATAACCAATATCAACTTGTAAAATTTGAAAATAAAGATTTTGTTTAGTTTTTTTGAGTACACTCGCAAAGTAACAGAACTTAATTAACACGAATATATGTTTTTTTAAATTATTATATTTAATATTAACCAACAAAAAAATTATAGAAAAAAGATAAAGATACAGAACTTTAACTATAAAGAGACTTCGTATATTCTGAAGGATTTAAACCTAATTCTTTTTCTAATTTAGGTGCCTGTAATAGTTCCTCTTTTAACTCTAAGTACTTGATACTTTAGTTTCTGTTAAAATGTTTTCTTCCAAATCATTTTCTACAGAAACCACTAGAACAGAAAATTCTGTAATTTCATCCAGCAAAAGTAATTTATTACTACTACTATTATTAAAATCAATGAAGATTTCTGGCATATCTAGCCCACTTACACCTGCGCTATCTTCATCTATTATTTTTAATATAGCTAGATCCACTTCATAATTTTTTTTCTTTGTCACCGCTGGTTCCGGTTCTTCTTTCGTTGTCTCTCTCTCTCTCTCTCTCTTCTCTCTCTCTCTCTCTCTCTCTCTCTCTCTCTCTCTCTCTCTCTCTCTCTCTCTCTCTCTCTCTCTTTTTCTCTCTGAAATTAAGTCCGTGTAAAAAGTTGATTAGTATTTAACAAAAAATTACTTACTAGACAATGTTCGGCTCTTCCATATTCCAAAAAGGCAATCTCGAGCGAACGTCCAGCTTCTGTCTGCCGAAGCTAAATCTAAGGCTTTTGCTTATTCAAAAACTTCTTCCCATGCCAATGGTTTGTCTTTATTATTGTTATTTTTAAAATTTAAATAAGACTGCTTTTTTTTTCGATCAATGACAGAATCGCAAGTTTTTTGTTAACAAAAGTACATTTTCAGAGTTTAAATTCACTTTGCGGTTTTAAATTGAAAAGTACAAATTAATTTGACAACTATTGACTTGTCGGATTATTATAACACAAAAACAACTTGATTTTTATACTTTTACTTTACAACTTTCACTTTTCAAATTCTACTTTTCAACTTATTAACTTTCTCTTTTATGAAATATAAATTTACTAAAATGTGTTAAGTGCAAAGTGACAAGTTGCAAAGTAGTTTTATGAAATAGGCCCCAGGTCGAACCCGGGAGCTTTTTTCACATTAATACTATTTTTTATTTCCCTTTGTACTCCTTTAGGACTAGTTAATAATATTTTCTCTATATCACCAACTTCATCTTGGTTATCCAGTTCAATTTCTTCACCTTCTCCTGGGTTTGGGTGGAAAATGCATTCTAAATAGTTGGCAAAGTTATCAACTGTTTGTTTGCAACTTCTTGCCCACATTCCATTTTCTGTTCGTATTGGGGGTACGTGTTGAATTGGTTTTTTTATTTTTTAAACAGCTTTCCATAATAAGTAATTATTTGGTCATCTGTGAGCTCTCTTAGATATTTGTTAGTTGACTCATTTTTAATGTTTTCTATCTCTTTTCGTAGCTGTTGTATAAGTCTATTTAATTTGTTTTTGTTCTCTTTTGCCACTTCTTTTGAGCCTTTCTTTTGTTTTGTATTAAATCCCTTATTCTTTGGAATAAATAATACTTATAGTTTTCCTTTGTATTAATGGTGTATTATTCCATGCAACTTGTTGGATATTGACCATAAATAATTCAGTTTCTGTATACAAATCTTTCTCTGTCCTAATTAGGACATTTAATTCAATTTTTTTTTATTTTTTCCAGTTTGTATGTTTGTTCGTCAGTGTGGGATATAACAATATGAAATTGATTACCATAAAAATTAAAAATTGTAAAATTTTTGATTGTTGGTTTTGCTTAATATATTGGTATTTTATTATTGAAATTAAATATAATTAAAAGGGATATTTCGATTAGTTTGCTTTAATTATATTTTTATTTTAATGATTCTTTTTTTTTTGCAGGTCACAGGAATCGTAGGCAGAGCAGATGTTTTAGCTTGCATATTTTTTCTACTGTCACTTCTAGCCTACCACGGGTAAGTTTTGTTCTGAAATTTTTAAATTTTTAATTCAGCACCCACTTTACTTAAAGACCAAATTTTGTCTAAATTTGCTATATCCATTGATTTTCTCTTTTAAAAATAGTTTCTGCAGTTAACCTAATTCTCAAATGTCATAAAATTAAAACCATTATTCTTAAAAACATGCAACGTTTAACCTACCTAAAGTTGCAATTCTAATTTTTGGATACTTTGTTAGTCACTACAATACTTAACAAAAAATTACTTATCGGTAACTTCCGTTTAAAGACAAATCCCGAATTTTTTGTTTTTTAAATAAATCTAGGTCAGGGATCATGAATAATTAAATAAAATTAGATATATATATATATATATATATATATATATATATATATATATATATATATATATATATATATATATATATATATATATATATATTCGCCAAACTTCAATTCGGTACCATTATTTCATACTTCATGGTAAATGCACAATACATTGCCATGTTGAAAAAACAGCTGACCTACTTCTATCCGATATTCAAACTAAGCGATACACCCTCTGAAGGATATTTGTAAAAGATCTCTCTTTAAAATTCACATCAGATTCTTAAATTTAAACACAATACAAAACCTACACAAAATAACCCAAAAAATCAATAACCTCCTACAAACTTTAGAGGAAATCGAAGTGACTCTCCAGAAAATGAACGTTTTCCATACTAAGGTATGAAAAATCTGCTCCCAAAGAAGCAAGGATAGGTACACCTTATTTATTAGGATGTTGACTTCTTCAAAGTCTCACTATTCATATTTAAACCGGGAAGGTTTCGGCATATTTAGCCGAAAAGACCCCATGTGAGCTCTCCAACCAAAACCCCTTTTAATCCCAAAATATTGCACCCAGTGCACCGGCCTACGACGTTCAGCTTTAGAATGGTCTAAAAAATATGCTTGTCCTAACGACGGGCTGCACCACAGGTCAGCAGACTGTAAAAAGTCTAAGATGCCAAAATTCCCAAACGGCCATGACAACCACCCCGTCTACTTCATAACCTGCCTTGAACGGCAAAAACGACTCCAACTTCAATCACCCTTCAATCCCCTCCTTGAGCTGACATCAAAGCTCAATAATTTCCCCTATAAATCTTCCCAGCAATACTAATGAATCCCCAGCAAATTGTAAAAAACTTCTAGCCAAACTATTGGATTCGCTAAACCTGGCCATCTTTTGACATTCATGTACCATTACTGATCATGGAAACTTAGCTATTTTCTTTTTTTTTTTTTTTTCTAATAAATCTTGATCTTTGATGGATTGCTTCATTGAAACTATAAACTCAACGGCCTCGCTCGGAAGAGGCACTTGATCAAAAACCTTTTAAATTCAGAATTTTCAAATATTATTATTAACAGACAATACGTCTATAAAAATAAATCCCAAACTTGCCATGGGAATGTTTTTCTAATTACAAATTAAATTCCTTTTAATGCACACACACTCCCTGCTCATCTATCAGAACTCGATGTAATAGCAATATACTTTCCAATAGACAATCCATTAACAATAATCTCATATTACAACCAATCAGGCCAAATAATCATCTCCACCCCAATGATAGACTATCTATCGTCACTTTCTCTTGCTGTTTTGCTTGCATATTTGAACTCTAGGCATGCCATATTCGGAGATTATAATTTAAAACCAAATTGTATCTGTCTGGATAATTTTCTTATCGATTACCTCATATTTAGAGCCTCAAGCCGACTTCCGACCTTTGTATCTCATCGTATATCATTTAATATTGACCACACTCTTTTGACAGATTCCTGTACTAGACTGGTTTTACACTATTTGGTTGCTTTCATGAAAGTATGGTTTTAAAAGTGAGATATTGTAATTATTAAATTTAAAATACTTAAGCATGGCCAGAAATATTTCAGGGTTTAGTGTCAAAAGCTTTTGAAAAATCTAACAATATTCAGATAGTAATGTTGTTATTTATCAATGGCCCAGATAAGGCTGTTACACAGCTGTATCCTGCCCTAAAGCCTGATTGTTTATTAAACAATATGTTATTGTTTTTTAAAAAAGCACTTATTTGCATTTCCATAACTGTTTCTAAAAATTTTTAACAAAGAGATAGAATACTTAATAATCGCAATTCACTAAAAGCAGTGTTGCCAGAGGCCTTCAAAGAATTGTACAGATCCCAGGACAAAATTGTACCAGATTTTAAACGATTGTACAGAAATGAAATATGAAATATGTAAGTCAACTAATTGTTTATTAATAAATTTTGCAAACTACATGTTAATTCTAAATACCATTATTAAACTAAGTTGTTAAGGACGCGACTTTGTTATTTTGCCATGCAGTTCATGTCGCCCATCCTTACTCATACAGATAGAGGAAATAAATTAAATTGAAAAATTGCGAAAATTTCGTTGAAAAAAAATAGACAATTTTTTCCCACAAATTCTCGTTCATGTGGACTTTACTATAGAAGTACTTTTTTACTTCCTCATAAAGGATATCCATTTTATCCACGATAACTCATGAACGGATACAAAGAAACACCAAATTTTAAATTTAAGCTTTATTTCGGCCTGCGGAGGAACATCTGAGGGAGTACTTTATAGGGGGTCATTTTTATGTTTTATAGAATATATCTGTTATTTACGTTTAGAGAAGAAAATGCTTTAAATAAAAGTTACTTCTTAGTTCTAATATTATTTTCTATAATTTGTGTCCTATAAAACACTCTATATCTCTGAAATGAGTAAGATTAAAGGCTACGTATGGGAGTGTTTTGAACTCAGCTAAGTGTACTCTACCTCCCATTAAGCTATGTCCGTTTAAATCTGAAACACCCTGTATACGCACGTGTACATTATCTCCAATAAAGGCCATCTTGTTTGACTTAATCTTAACAATTTGTGAGGTTTCGTGTCAATAAATTCTTGAAATTCTTTACAAACGGTAAGCCTTTTTGGACTTTTTGATATACAGGGTGTTATTGAAATACACGTACATATTAAAATGGGGAATAGTATGTAATGACCAAAAACGATTGGCACCAATTTTAACTTCAAATTCTAAAATTTAAATATTGGGGAAGAGTCCCCTTTTCCGACCTACTAGTTTCCATATTTAAAGAAGTAAAATAAATCGAAATTGAACTTACCCATAGAAATTGCACTGTTGCCGTAGCAAAACCAATTAATTCAAAATAAAGTTTATTACAGTAATTGTTCAAAATGCCGTCCATTATTATTTACACACACTTGCAATCGTCTTTCCAAAGAACTTTGAACATTAGAAATTAGTCTTGGATTTTGTCGTAGTTCCTCGGCTACCGCATTAACTTTATTGGTTAATTGTTCAACACTATTAATAGGTTCATTATAAACCAGTTGTTTCATGTGACCCCACAAAAAGAAATCGCATGGATTTAAGTCCGGAGATCTCGGAGGCCACTTAGTAGGTCCATTTCTGCCTATCCACTTTTGAGGAAATCTAATGTTCAAAAACTGCCGTACGTTTAAATCAAAGTGAGGAGGAGCGCCATCTAGTAGGTACCACATCCGTTGCCTTAATTGTAACGGTATCTCTTCTAGGAGTACTGGCAAAATATCTTCTAAAAAGTGGAGATATCCTGGCCCATTTAATCTGTTCGGGAGAACATAATGCCCGATTAAATACTGATCTATTATGCCAGCCCAAACATTTATTAAAAATTTTTTTTGATGCCCAGTTTCCCTAATGGCGTGAGGATTTTCATCACTCCAAATATGCGTATTGTGCATATTGAACACGCCATCACGAGTGAATGAAGCCTCGTCAGTATACAATAATATTTTTAGAAAATCAGGAATATCAACACATTTTTGAATCATCCATTCACAAAACTCCACTCTCTTTTCTTCATCACCTGGATATAAGGCCTGGACTTTTTGGATGTGATAAGGATGTAAACCTTGTTCTTTAAGGGTCCGCCACACAACAAATGAGGACACTCCAATTTCAAGACCTAGTCTTCTACAACTTAATTGAGGCCGGTTTTCAACAGCTTCCAATATTTCTTCTTCGGCCGCCAATGTTCTTTGTGTTCTTGTTCTCCCTCGATCTGCATTGACACTCTCAAATTTTCCATGGTCTCTTAGATGCTGAACAGTTGAAATAAACGTACGACAGTCCGGAATTCTTCGATTTGGAAACCGTTCGCGATACAGGATTTGTGCTTGCCGAGAATTTTCTCCAGCTGCCCCATAAACCAGCACTATATCCGTTAGTTCAATATTCGTAAATAGTGGCATCGTAAAAAAATATTTAAAAGTAATCGTAACAACACTTTTTACCAACTTGGAAATGACGCGCTCGTGTTAGCCAGATTCGTAAATCAACTAAAATTTTAATAATCTATAGTTTCAAAAATGTATAGTTTAAAAACAATCATTTATCAAATATTCTAGTTTTTTGATAACGAGGGTAGTAAAAACCAGTCTTCGGAAATAGAAATTAATTCGAAAATCTTGGCAACATGGTTATTTCTTACAAGACTAGTTTTCTTATCATCTGACAAAAACTTGCATATTAATTACTGTTGATGTTTAAAATAGGTAAATAAACCTAATTTATATAGGTCATCCTCAACATATCAGTGAAGTACGTTTGTTTTAGAATTAATTTTCAAAAATTAATAACTCCCTTAATAAGGGGTATTTTTAAAAAATAATATTTTTCTACATTCAGTGGGGATCTGCGCAATACCCAGTTTTAATATGTACGTGTATTTCAATAACACCCTGTATAGTTGTATATGTCTTAAGGTGGGTCCACATTGCTCCTGTTCGTGCTTACACGCGTGCTCGTGATCGCGCTTATGCTGTTTCCGGAACGTTGCCTTTTGTGTTTCTTCTGTTTGTCAAATTCGTATTATCCGCGAGCAAAAGTGTCCACATTGTAGTTCTGTGTTTGCGCTCTTGCGGTTTCGACATGGATGATCAATTATTATTAACGGCGGCTGCCAGTGCGTTAATTATTATTTATAAAACGGAGAGAACAGGAAAAAAGTGACAAAAAGACGGTGTTGGATGTCAAATATTTTTAAAAGTAGATCCAAATACAGTGGAAGTAATCTTCTCCATGATTTATTTACGAACATATGGGATGTTTTTTAATAATTTTTGTCGCATTAGTATTACCGATTTTGAAACACTAATTAATTTAGTTGGCCCACATATCCAAAGAAAGAATATTTTTTTTTATTATTTAGTTTCGTAAAGCCCAATTATTAGCTTCAACATTTTTTCTTCAGTCCACTCTATATTGCACTGCGCCTTGCTCGTACACCCGTACTTGACTGCACTTGAAAGCGAACAGTAAAAACAAAAAAATCACCAAACCGCCGTCAACTGTGCTCGCGCTCACACTATGCCTTTGATGTACCGCTACCCGACCGAACAGTCAAAACAGGTGTTTTGGGAATGGTTTTGGGTGATTGCAAGCACGAGGAACACTGCAAACAGCTCAAACACGACAAATATGATTTTTGTTTCATTCGTGCTGTTTGCTCCGTTTGTTGCGCTTGTTGTGTTCGTTCGCACTGTTCGCGAGCAATGTGGACCCACCTTTAGACAAACTCCTCCACCGTAGAAGGTATTTTTTTGTCGCTTCTGATGCACATCGATGTAAGGAGTGACATATACAACCAAGAACAAAAATATTTGAATTAACTTTTTCTTTAAGTTTTGCTCTCCTATCTGCCCCATCATAACAGAAACGTTATCTGCACCGAAACCAATAACATTATGGTAATTAATTTCAGATTTCTCCAGCAAATCCAAAATGGCTTTATGGGACCATCCGCAGAACAATTCTCTACCTCTACCAGTGACAATAACTGGTCTTTAATGTAACTTTGGTTTTTATCTACAAAACGGCACAAAATTGTTAAACAATATTTAGAAGAGATGTCAGTTGTTTCAGCTACTAGTTAGTTGTTGCACAAGTTCATTTTCAGCCTCAATCTTCAACATTTTAATTATTTGGGCAGTCTTTGTTCTCCCACAATTTATATTTTTCACCACTTGAGAATCTGGAATACTAGATACTAGAAGTTTAGGAACATGATCCATTAGCAACATTGAGCAATTATGTTCTGCGATGAGGCCCATACTTAATTTGTACTCGGTTTCTTTAGCTACAACCGTCAATCTTTTTTCTTCTGAAGATTCTTGAAGCAATTTTTCAATGTTTCCTGTATTTGTAACCTTTTTGGCATTTTTTTGTGAAACTGATTCTTTTCATGCCTTGTTAAATGAGCTGCCCCTCCATCAACTGTGTGATTACATAAAGAGCAAATTTTCTCTCCATTACGAAGTAGTTATACCTATGGAAACTGTCTAAATTTATGATCATATCTTGATCATATTTTTTTTTTCTTTACAAAGAAATTAAAAGACTAGAGGAAGCGTTGGTCTTATTATTATTTAAAATGAATTATGACATTTATATCCGTCATGCTACGCCATTGGAAAACCAGGATTTATTAGTAGAATAACAATATTTTACAGTAAAAAAATTACTTGCTGTGGAGGCGAGCTATCCCTACATTCCCGACTGGATGAGGTTGTCGCAAATTCAGATTCTGATAAATCACTATTTTGTTCTATAGTAATTGTGTCGGAATTTATTATTTTATTAGATGGACTAGTCTAAATAAACCTGATGAAATAGAAGGCTAAGAAATACTAAGCCTCGGATTTGCCTCTTTGGCTTTTCTTAATACAAACCTGTTAATTACAATAGTTTTAATTATTTATTAATACAACACCTATAAGATGTAAAATTTACTGTAGACCTAACAACCCCAACAAATAATAATACGAACCTATCCATTTTTTACACTAAAATACTTATTTTTTTTTTGCTACTGATTTAAAAACATTTTGAAATTTATCGATATTTATGGTATGCATCGATTTTTATTTTAAAAAATTCGTGCTGTCAGATGAATGTTTAAAATTGTACAAAATGTACCAGAAATATTATAAATGTACTTTTGTACAAACGGTCTCAAAATGTACCAGATCTGTACAATTGTACCAGCTCTAGCAACGCTGACTAAAAGGCAGGAAGTTTTTCTTTAGTAATTGCTTCGGTATTCGAAATTATCGTTTGAATATTATTTTTTATTTTTATTCATATGCATTTATTTTATTTTTGAAAATTCTCATCTTTAGTGATAATTATTTACTGTACCCATATTTAAATAAAATTTATTGAGAATTATCTTCGCTTCTTCTTATACACTTATTCGTTGTTACACCTGCATATCGCGCGACCTTTGGATTTTTGAACAAAAAACTCCCAAATGAACCTTGGCGATTTTCCATGTTAATTTACATAAGGATTGTACTAGAAACCGTGTTGCCCCTTTACTGAGGTTTTATATAAAAGGTTTGAAATAAAAATTGTTGAATTTACAGTTAATAGTTCGAATCTATATTTGTGATTATTAATTCTAGCAAGAAAGTATCTCTTATATAATTGTGTTAAGTTAAATATCTCAAGAATGTCACATATCTTTCTCAAGACAGAAATTCACTCCTTGATGCACGCGCCTTCATTAAAATTACCCAGTCCACGCACTTTTGTTACTACGCCACTTAAGAGGAAAATTTACATTACAAACTAAAAGACCTGCGGGGCAACGGTAGTTTAGTAGCTATAAAAATTACAACTTAAGGTTGGAGCCTAAATACTACAAAATTACTTCGGAAACTAAACAAAATCAGCATTCATTCATAATTTTAACAATTGCATGTAGATACGAAGGATGCATATTCTAAAGTTTACTGCGCAAAGTTGAGATAAAGGAACCGAAAAATATTCCACAACAGCACAAAATAATATGTATTATACTTCGATAGCCACGTCCTTCAAGATCACACTGTAGTTTATGTATCTTGCTCGTTTCTTGCGTATTTTCAAAGATTTCTGAATCACCCAACCTACCTGCCGAAGCTAACCTGTTTCCTTATCATTATGTTTCATACGCTCGTGTAGTGATAAGTGCGAAATTTATTGTGAGTTGATTTATACCAGGAATTTATAAAAAAAAAAAAAAAATGCCGAACAATAAAAAACGGAAAATAGATGATTTTAAAAATAAAATTAAGAGAAAAATGAGGAAACTGGAACGAATGTTGGATATATCAAACAGTAAGTAAACATATATTTTTTAATTTGTATATTAAATATTAGGTTAGGCCACCGCAGTGTAATAACTTGGGGTGTGGCCTAACAGGCAGTATAATAACTCCCTAAAATAAAAGGCTGTAATATAATAATAAAAATGTTTTATCAATACAGAGTAATATCTTTTTGATAAACGGCAGTAAACAGATAATACTGTTATATTGAGTAACGTCAATATTTTCAGTAGGGAAAAAATAAAATGGTAGCCATTACAAAAATGTTTATTCAATACAGGGTAATACCTTAGTGATAAACAATAATTGTAAATAAAAATAAAAGAAATCGGTCCCCATTTCATGTTTATTTAATACAGGGTAATACCTTATTGATAAACCATAATTGTAACTTGATAATTTTGAGTAACATCAGTATCTGCTATTGAAATAAATAGGGTCATTTTTCTTAATAGGTGAAAGTGACTCATCAAAAAGTGAAGATTCAGTCAGCTCTTCTAGCGACGAATCCCAAGATTCAACACAGGCTGTTATTAATACAAACATGGCTGATACAATCGAAAATTCTTTAGAAAATATTTTGGGTTCACATCCCGATGAAGAAACCACCAAAGGTCCAGAAATTGCAGTAGATTTAGCAAAACGATGGGAGTCAGTTCTTTCTTCACGACTAGATAAGGATGTGAGGCAAAAACTAATGGACAAATGACAGGCACCTCAAAACTGCCAAGGTTTAAATGCTCCTAAGCTCAATCCGGAAGTTCAGTCGATTATATCAGCAACTGATGCAAAGAAAGACAAATTTCTACAAAACATTCAGGACTTAATGGGGAAAGGCATAACCGCTCTTGTAGTTGCAATATCTCTCGTCCTGCCACAACGTGAGACAGTGAGCCCAGAAGCAACTCAAGCGATGGTGGACGCAGGGAAACTTCTCACAGACATGTTCCATACTATTTCCAACCACAGAAAATATCAAATTAATAATAATTTTAATGTTAATGTACAAAAAATCAGCCATCAACAAAAGATCGATAAGTACCTATTTTGGGTAGATTTTGCGGAGCAATGTAAATCTGCAAAACCAGAGGGAAAAAAGGGAGGGGAGAGCAGAAGTCAATTCAAACAGCAAAGAAGGACCCCAAGAGAGTGGAAACAACAGCCCTACAAAAAACAACCGGACTACAGGAAATACCGGAGCAAGGATCACCGATAGAGGTAAGTTATGCGGGAAGAATAAAAAACTTCTTGCATAACTGGAAATTATTAACAAATGATAAAACTATCCTTAGCTGGGTCAGAGGGTATAAATTGCTATTTTGCAGACGACCCAGACAGAGACAAGTACCAAAACTTAATTTTTTGCCAAAATTTGAAAAAAGTATAAACGAACTCTTAAAAATAGGGGCAATCGTTAAAAGTACTCACTGTAAAGGGGAATTTTTATCGTCATATTTTTTGAGGATCAATCCAAATGGCAAACATAGGTTTATCCTTAATCTAAAAAAACTTAATGAATATCTAACTTGTTCTCATTTTAAAATGGAGGATTATAGAACGGTAAAAAACCTCATTTACAAAAATTGTTTTATGGGTTCATTGGATTTGAAAGATGCATACTTTCTAGTACCAATTGAAAAAAGAGATCGAAAATATCTAAAATTTCAATATAAAAATCAGCTTTTTGAATTTACTTGTTTGCCATTTGGAATGTCTACGGCCCCATATGTTTTTACAAAATTGTTCAAACCGGTGGTCAATCATTTACGATCAATGAGTCTAACCTCAGTAATTTATTTGGATGATATCATTCTGTTTGGGGAAAATAAACAAAAATGTAGGGAAAACATTGATTATTCTTTAAAACTTCTATCTTCTAAATATTTAGGATATATTTTTGATAGTAAAAAAATGACAATTTCAATTCCAGAAGAAAAAAGACAAAACATTTCATCCTTGGTAAATCAAATTAGGGTAAAAAGAAAAATCAAAATTAGGGCATTTGCTAAATTTATAGGCACACTAGTTTCAGTTTGTCCAGCTGTTCCCTATGGGTGGGTCCATATCAAACACTTCGAGAGGCAAAAATAAATTGCACTTCAAAGGAATAGAGGGAACTATGACAAAGAAATGAATTTACCGGAACACCTTATAACTGATTTTCAGTGGTGGTTTGAAAATATATCACAAGCAGAGACTAGCATTACAGAGATATCTTACGAATTTACTATCTATTCGGATGCTAGTAATTCTGGCTGGGGCGCTTTTTGCGAAAATCAAATATCACGGGGGTTCTGGAACCAACAAGAAACTTCTCGCCATATTAATTATTTAGAACTTTTAGCTGCGTTCAACGGCCTTAAGTCTTTTGCCAAAAATCATAGTAATTGTAATATACTACTTAGAATTGACAACATTTGCTTACATAAATAGGTTTGGCGGAATAAAATTTCATGAATTAAACGATTTGACTCGGAAACTTTGGGAATGGTGTGAGAAGCGTAAAATCACAGTATTTGCGTCATACATAAATACGAAACAAAATGTGATAGCAGATGCGGAATCGCGACAGAAAAATATTGAAACTGAATATTCTTTACATTTACACTGCTTTAATAATATCAAAAAATTGCTGGGTACACCTGAAATTGACCTATTTGCTTCATATGAAAACAAAAAATGTAAGATATTCGTTTCTTGGCATCCAGACCCAGAGTTATGTGCTGTAGATGCTTTTACAATAAAATGGTTAAATACGTTTTTTTATGCTTTTCCACCATTTCCTCTGTTGCCCAGAGTTCTTCATAAAATTATAGCCGACAAGGCAGAAGGGATTTTAGTTTTTCCCCTCTGGAAAACACAGCCTTGATTTCCTGTGATAGAAAATCTCATTGTTTCGGAATGTATAATATTCCCACCTAATCGGATGCTTCTGTTAGCCCTTTTTAGAGATCCACACC